CTAATAATTTATTTGACAAGGAGCAGGATCTAACTTTAGGTAAAAATATTATACGTATAAGGTAAATATAAGTATTATACGTAGTAGTACATACCGTCACAATACTTATATTTACCTTATAATATTTTTATTATAATTGCATATTTTTAATATCACTATATTTATTATAAACAGCTCTTGATAGGTGATCAAGTCCAGCAAACGAGTCATTATATAATTTTATTATTTCTACACCTGATAGAAAAGAGTATTTGTATGCTATTTTAGATTTTTCAGATGCGACACAGACCAGAGAATTCCTTGCTTCTCAAATTTCTAGTGTTGTTAAAAAAGTCAGCACAGATAAGTTCATAGCTTGCGTAACTGACAATGGGAGCAATGCTCGTATTGCCTGCGAAATCGCTACATATAATTATTCTCATATTTGGAATATTAGATGTGTTGGCCATGCATTAAACCTTATTGCAAGTGATATTATCAAAATCTCTTCTGTTAGTAGTGTCTTGAAACAAGCCAACCAGGTTGTTCAATTTTTTAAGAAGTTACACAAAGCATATTGATTTCTTCGTGATATTATTAATAGTATGAACTTAGATGGTGGCAGCTTAGAAATGTATGTTGAAACACAATGGGCTTCTATTTTTGGAACTACATCTTCAATTGTAAGATTAAAGCCCACATTTGATAAGGTATATATATAGTATAATTATTATATTAGTTTTGTTCAAGACCATGCAACGTTGATAAGTATTTCATATATTATCAGATAGAGACTTTGATTTTCTAGAATTATTTAGCCAATTCAATTTTTTGATTTTTTGTTTTGTAAAATGAAAAAATAACTTGCATAGTCTTAGATACAAGTAACTCTCATTATAGTGAATTCTCGATATAAGTATAATGAAAAATGGTTTATACAAAATCTAGTGAATTTACCAAAATTTACTAATAGGCTCTAGGCAACCTCAGCCCAATTACTTCATTATAATGAGAGTAGGGATTAGACCTGGATAGAAATTGTTACTATACGATTACCTAAAATATATAATAACTTATCCAAATAACCAGGTAATTTAATCATACCTGAGTAAAGATTTTCTCAACGGGTCCAATCTCTAAACGAGAGTCACTTGTATCTATTAATTTATAATAGATAAATAAAAAAAAATTGGACCTGCCAACCGGAATTTGGTTATGCAAAATAAAAAATTAATGGATCTTTTGTCACAAGAGATTCAAATTAACTTTGTACAATCTAATATTTATTAGTATTTTTTTCTTTTTTTAGATTTTAGAAACTAATTAAGCTATTATTAGTAAAATGGTTCTTTCAATCTTAAATGATAATGATGATATATTTTACACCAACTGTCGTCGAATTTCATCTATTATACAATCTATTAAAGAGGTAATAAATAACCTGAAGGCTCATACTGCAAATCTTGCGGATTGCTTTATCAATATTGTAAAGTTAGCTGTGGCTATTAATAGAATCCCCATAAATAATACTATTCGTGGACCAGCTATAGCTATATTTAACAAATGTTATGCAGAATTTGATATTGAGCCTTATTTACTTGCTTATTTTCTGCACCTGGGTTATAGAGGTATGTACATACGTAAGTACATATTCATATTTGAAACTATATACGTAGTTTTATTTTGTCAGCCTAAAAATAATAATATATAATTAATCTAAATATGTACAACACGATAATACATACATAGTAACAAGCTTCCTTTTTAAAATTAAAATTGTTAATATAGGTCTAGGCTTATATAAAGGGACGTTTCGCCAAATTTGTGAGATTGCCGTTAAATACTATAAAAGTATTTATAGTGATGAAGCTGCATGTCGCCAGATGACTACGCAACTTATTTATTATAATAATAAGGAATTTCTATATGACTTCGATTATGATTTTTCCAAACCACCTAGTTTGTGGTGGGGTGTAATTGAAGACAAATATTCTAACCTTCAAAAATTTGCACAAATCGTTTTTGCAATAATGCCTTCACAAGCAAGTTGTGAATGCAATTTCTCTATTTTAAGGTGGCTATATAGTAAATACTGATCACAATTATCACCTGAACGATTAGAAAGCATGGCTCAAATTCATTCGTTTTACATCTCCAATCTCAAGAATGAACTTAAATTTTACGGAAAAGAGTTATCAGAAAGTGAACTTCATGATAGTGCATTAACTCAAACAACCTATACAACAACGAACAATAATGATATAATTTGCGAACTAAATGATATTTCAGAATCTTTTCAATTCTCAAATCATAAGAATCTTGAAATTGAGTCAATAGTTAATTTGTCGAGTACAAATTTTGGTGGACAAGATAATGATAAAGAAATACCTCATACAACCATAACCCAGGGAAGTGGTAATATGGATTTTGATCCTTCGACTATCGTAGAAAGTGAACTCTAGTCTGCAAATTTGTTGTAGTAATTTTTTTTTTTTTATTGCACTTTGTAATTTGTTTGTGCACTTTTTTTTGTGCATTTTTTTTTTGTTTGCGCACTTTTTTTTTGTGCATTTTTTTGTTTTCGCTCTTTTTTTGCGCTTTTTTTTTTCTCTTTTTTTTTTTGTGTTTGCACCCTTTATTTTGTGCATGCACAATATTTTTTTTTCGCTTAATACTTTCTCTGGTTTGTTTCCTTGTAAGCATAAAGATATCAATAAATTTACTGTTATTAAAACACATATTGCTCTATATAATATGTATTTAACACCATTAGATAGCTGTGGCGCAGATTATGACATGATCACATAAGATATTATTTTGTGTTGTTTGAGTTACTACACAATGGTAATAACTAGTAAAAACCCTTTGGGAATCTACTAAGTCCCAAACTACCGGGTTTGGCTTACATCCCTAATTTTGATGTCATTCGATTCGTCTCAATGAGACGATTCGAATGGTAGCGACTACATATGTACAATACGCATATAACATCTCGCTGGATAAAGAATAATTGACAAATCAGATTTAAAGCACTTTCAATGATATAGATACATTGAAAAACTTCTGTCGCTTTTAGAAAAACTATGTATATTAAACACGAACGGTATAAATATATTTAGCATCTATTCGTGTAATATGTTATTATAATTTATTTTATCTTATCAAGTTGACAAGAATGCACATAATAAACACATCAAACATATGCAAGCATTCAAATGAAAATTTTTTGATAACATTGATATTATTATTATAAAGATCTGTCAAACAATCATTAATAATACAAAAATAACTTTTATTATATCAGCCGAAAAATCATTCGAAAATAACTGTAAATAATGTGCCAGCTTAAGCTAACTTACTTGAGCCAACTTATTTGAGCTGGCTTGAGCCATCAGCTCGAGCCGGCTCGGCTTAGCTTTTTGAACCAATCCGAGCTTACTTAAGCAGATCACATCCCTAACGATAACCAAATACTTGTTGTAATCTTAGTAGCTTTTGTTTGTGTGCATCATCTAAAAGAGTCGAAAAAAAAAAATAAATGTATAATTTACATTGTTTGAAAAACAAATATATAAACCAATTTCACCAGTGAAAATAATTATCACTAGTAAGGTTACTCAAACTTTACCTTCAGTCTGACCACCTTCTGCGGCATTTCCAGCCAGAGGAACTATTCGAAATAAAGTTAGTAAAAAAATCATTGGACAATTATGAATATTATGAAAATGACTCACATAAAGTTTTCACTTCAGCAATTACGTTAGCACGTTCCTTTTCTTCTTCCTCAGCAGCAATATTTGCAAGACCACGGCGTATATAACTTTGGAAATACGGGCCAGTTTTGGATAAATGTGACGTAACTTTACTCTCCATTTCAGGATGTTGTTTTTGAAATTCATATAATTCGTAAATGCCCTAAATATAAGTTATAAAATAAATTAAAAAATAAATATTGTGAATTTTAAATATAATTTCATCCAACTTATATTAACCTGTTTTGTTTCTTCTCTAGTTCCAATTTTAAGGAAAATTTGTGTTAATCGTGAATTCATTTCTACTTCATGTGACCCTGATGAACGGCTGTTGCTAGTTGGCGTGGGAAATCGTGGTGTCATAGGGGAGGCAGGACTAGCTGGTTCTGAACTATTATATTGAGTTTCGCTAATTTGTCCAGGAACTTCTGGTATCGGTGAGCCTCTTGCATGCACTTCATTTATTTGTCTTGGAGAGGGCGATTGAATTTGTTCACGTGATGAAGAAACTTGTGTAGCCTCGAAATTTGAAAAAGTAGTATCATTTACAACTGACTTTACGGAACCAATTGATGATGGACGGCTTGGTGAATTATCGAAAGGTATCTATAGACAAGATAAATAATATGTTAAAACCAGTAGCGTTCTTTCCATAATAAACAAAACCTTAATGGCTTAGAAGCTTGACCTACATTTGTATTAGTTGGTTGTTTTTCTTTTTTACGGCATGCTTCAAGCATATGGTGTAAATAAGGATATACATAGCTACGCTGTGGATCATCGATGAGATCTAGATGATCAAATACGCTCTCACCGAGACCTGTTACTAATTCAACCAGCAAAGTTTTTACGGTACGAAGAGGCATTTCACCCAGTGGAACTTTTTCCGAAGCTCGCCTTTTCCATTCAGCCGGTGGTATAGCAAGGAAAAAGTTATTAAGATCCCTCAATAGTTTATTGGGCAAAAGGATGCCTGATTTTAGATTTTCCTGTACTGATCGTGCTAATTTCCATAAACATTTCATTATTAATTCTGTGAATTTCGTATGGGTTGTGGCCGCAGCGGCATCCACTTCTCTCAAGTTTGCTGATGATTTTTCTAGAATAGATATTAAAGCACTGATAATAAAAAGAATAAACAACGCATAAATAAAATATTTAAGCTTTAATTATTTAGTAAATAAGAACAAAAAGTTACCTATAAGTTGCATTACGATTACTATTTTCGAGAACTTTCACCATTGAAACATTTAAAGCTTTTGATAATTGTTGGCCTGCTTCCAATACTTGAAGATTTAGATCCAGAAGACGATGAGCAAGCTCTGACAATAATCTCTCGAGCGATTCTTGTGAAACCGCCAAGGCCAAATTCTTATTTGAAAACAACAGAACTAAAGCATTCACAAGATGTTTGCACAGTCGAACAAGAATTTGTGATTGTGGGTCAAGTTGCGTATATGACATTCGTACTTGAATAGTTAGTGCATTAACAAGCTCATCGACATAAGGAATAATTGATTCAGGGGAAGTGTTTAAATGTTTATCCAGCTCTTTTAATGCTTCAATACTTTGTTGATGCTCAAAGCTCATAATTTTAGATATGGCTACTTCTACCAAGAAGACGTTTCCACGTTCAGAAGTACGCTGTCTAGCTGGGGGTATTCCAGATGAATTTACTACTGCTGGACTCTCAGAATTGGTAGCCGTCGAATAATCAACTTTATCAATGTCCATACTAGTATATTCTTTCTTTTGGCTATTATCATCGGAATTATCATTTTGCGATGATGTTTGTCCATTTGGTCCCTGACGGAACCTTGAGAATTGAAGACGAGAAGGTGCAGGTAACCCTCTACCTATGCCACTTGGAGGTAAACCACCCCTTTGGGCTGGTGATGAAAGTTTGTTTGGAGGAATTAATGACGATGGTGGAGCATTATTAGCAGCCAATGAATTTTGCCCATTGGGAGGAACTAAACCTGAACTTGAAGTATCATTTGTTGATGTGGGATGTGACATTGCAATAGATCTAGTTGGTATACCCTGTGCAGAACTAGCCGGTGGCTTAAGTTTTAATCCAGGCGGTAATTTTGGTGTATCATCTTCGTCTATATCATCAGAGGCATCAGTTTCACTATTTTTGCCGTCTTTTGAACTCGATGGCACAGCAAGTCTTGATTTTGCCCCTAATTTTTTAGAATCTTTCCCTCTTGGAAGAGGACCGGTTCCATGTGCTGGTCGAACTGCTTCAATCATTGGCATTATAGTTTGTTTTACGGCTCCCTTAAGATCTCCGCATTTTGTTACCACAAAATCATAGCCAGCACTTTTTACGACAGGCCCTAAACACGACTGTGCAGCTTTCCTTACATCCCCATTGCGATCTTGCAAACACGACAATAGAGGCGGAACTAATATTTGTAAATCTGGTAAATTATTTTTTTCATCCGCATCTTTGAGACGATCCGAGAACCAGTTTAATAAATCTTTTCTCAACAGAGGGTTTTCAGAACCAAGACTGGTTGCGAATGAAGAAACCATAGGATCAAGACCAGTGGCAGACGCCAAGCACTCCAAACAACTAATTGCGCTACCGCGTACAGTAGCTTTTTGGTCTGTTAGCACAGATGTCACAGGACCGACCAACACTTTTACGTATCTGTCGAAAGGCTTGCCCATGGCTGTTGCAAGCTTGCCACAAATGTCCAATGCCATCATTTGAAGGTTCTTATTACTATCAGCAAGGCGTGATTTAAGAATTGGTGCAAATTCACCTAATTTGAAATAATTTTATATATCTATATAATTTTGCGAAATAAAAGAGTGCAAGACAAACAAATACCTAAATTCGGCTTAATTCTCTTGTTAGCATCTACAATAGCAAGAACTTGCTCAAGAGCTTCTTTCCGTGTTTTCCATTTATCATCATTAGCATCCTAAAATATACCATTTTGCAGCGCAATTAATTACTCAATCAGCACAAAACTTAAATTTCATTAGGTCTAATACTAACTGCCATCATTTTGCTAGTAAATTGTGCACCGATATCAACTTTTGGGAAAAGCTCTTCCAACGCGTCATTTCCACCGCGCCCTGAACTTGCCACCTCAACCTAATTTAATTTATATATATTAACATGTGAAAACTATGTTTAAAAGATGCATATATTTGTTCCTTATATTCATAGATTTCATTTTACATACACTTGTTTTTATAGGCTGGGGAGGGGCTTGATCAGCAACTTTTTCGAATTCAGCATCAATGGTAGCAAGTTGTGTAGGATTTAAATCTTGAACAAATGTCCTAATATCTACATATGCGATAATTCAGTTAGTTCTATTCGTTTAAATGTTAATATTACAATAATCCTAATTTACCTGGACCCACATAAATCCTCAATGCTCCCAAAACAGCAACAGCATTGGTACGGACAGCTGCGTTAGAGCTAGTTAATGCGAACTTGATAAAATCAATCAATTCTCGCACTTGAACTCCAGCAATTCCAAATTCCATAATGGCACCATGAAACCACAGCAAACTATCGGCCAATACTTTTGGAGATTTAGCTTTTCGCAATGGATCATAAGCTAAAGAAATAAAATCCAATATAAATTAACTGGCAGATACGCAACTATAAATCAACATAAAAGCGAATAAAAGACTAACATTGCCCAAGAACGAATTGCAGAGATATTTTTTCTGCAAATGCTGTTAAAGTTTCCCCTGCACTCTTTTTGAGTTTAATGTCGCCCAATTTTTCGAATAATACTATAAAATTTCACTATTTAATGCAATATCAAACATGAGAAACGTAAAATCACTTAATAACGGGTAAATTACCAGGCATAGCAAGAGCAGCCGTTGGCTTCCCAAATGATGGTGCCTTAGAACTGAGCAGTTCCATAACATTGAATGCTTTGGCCATTACCTAAACCGTAATTTTATATTTTATAATTATTATGCTAAAAATCTTAATAATTAAAGAGGGTCCTAAAACAAACCTGAAAATTGCTTTCTTTCCATCCAGGTTTTTTTGCAAGAAATCTAACTACTAGTTCTGCTTCAATATTAGAAGGGTCCATTTCATTTAACGTGTTATAAAGATTCTCAATTGCTAAATAGTATGAAAACTGTAAGTATAATAATTAGTTATTTTATGAAATAGTGGTTAATAAATTACCTGCTAAACGGTTCTTCCAATTTTTGTCGCCCAATTCAGCGGTCTGTTCTTCTGGAACTATTTCCGCAAATCTCGATTCAACTTCTTCATTTGAAAACTTGTACCTCAATGGTTCTTCTTCCTTAGTTTTTGCACCTTTTTTCGGTGGCGCAGCAGAAGTTGGTGGTTTCGCAACTTTTTTAGGTGGTTGGGCTGCAGTTTTAGAGATTTTTGGAGGTTCTGCGGCCTTTTTTGGCTCAGTATTCTGAAAATATACGATATTGTAGCACAAATTTAAATGGTTTACCAGCATATTTCAAGATCAAGCTTACCTCATTCTTTTTGCTCGCAGTTTTAGCGGCAGGTTTTGCTTTAGGTGTTTGGGTAGCAGCAGCTGCAGGTGGTGGTTTCTTTGCCATTGTAGCTTTGACTTTGACTTCTGCCTTTTCGAAGAACTCTTTAATCTTGCCCTTTTTTATATCATCAAGTCCTTCTATAAAAGGATTCATAGCTTTCTCCCCGATGACTTTCATCATTGTACCGAGACCTTCTGCAGCAGAAAGACGAACAGGCTCAAAACTATCTTCAGAAGCTTTTACCATCATTTCGGTCAATGATTTGATTTCTGCTTTGTTAGGGGCTAATTTGGTATTCTTCAAGCATCTAACTAGCCATTTCATTGTTTCTGATTTTACTTGCGGATTCTTATGCTTTCCTGCGGCTACGATATCTTCAGTGACATCAGAAATTGTGACCTTTTTTTTACATTTTGAAAGAAAAATTTTTTTATATTCATGTAAAATAATATAACATTAAAATATTTAATTTGCTTACAGTAGAAAATATCGCATCTAAAGCAGCTGCTAAAGCATCCACAACACTCTGTTTTCTTTCTTTGAGTTTCTCTATCAACGGATTTGTAACCTGATATTAAAAATGTATGTTTCAATACTTTTGATAAATATAAGCCATAACAAATTGGGAATGAATTTACCGTTGGTTTATATTTTGCAAATGCTTCACGTAAACCTAATGCTAAAGCTTCAATAATATTTGCAGCCAGCGTTACTACTAATATATTTGAATCTGAAATTCGCTATTAATTTGATAAAAAATACGTTATTAAATTGAGATTATATTTTTATTATTAAATAATAATCAAATGACTTATACTATAATACCTTAGTAAGCGCAGCAATTAGTTCTCCATAATTATTATCCGCAATCCTCGGCGTTTTGCAAATTTCAAGTAGAGCATCTAATGCCTCTTTTCTGTCCTTCCACTTTGTGGCTTGCTAGTAAATGCACATATTAACATCAGATTGTTGGCCTACACTAAAATATGACTAAAATCTTATTGACAAAGTTTTATACCGCACCACTTGTGTATAAAAATCTTTTGGTATTTTTGCCAGTACATCAACAGGCTCTGCTAAGTCATATACGTCTATTTCTTTTTCTTCTTCCGCTTCAGCCTCTTCATCTACTGGATTATATATTAAATCCATATTTTTACTGTGTGTGAAAATTTATACAAACACATATTTAACAACTTACCTTTTTCGGCTTCCTCCGTTTCTTTCTGTGATCGTAAAAATCGTTGTTGTGTAACTTTTTCTTTTGGTAATTTTTCAAAGGCTTCGTTTAATTCTTTAACCTGTTAGAGAAATTTTAGTGGTGTAATAAGGAAATGGTCGATATCTTTAAAGACATTTACCTGAACTGGTTTTAATTCTTGTAGATGTGGATTAATTGCTTGTCCTAACCATTTATAAAGTTCTATTACTAGTTGCGTACCCTATTTGATAAATAAATAAATGTATTTGCGTTCGGAGAGAAAAATTATGATTGCATCATATATTCTTAGCCACAATTCATTGAATCAAATTACCTCTGCTCTAACGTTTTTGTCAGTATGACCAAATATTTTTGACAGTGTTTTGAGAATAGGCTTTACGTTAACTGTTTTTGCCCCATATAATCTAAATGTATAAATAAATTGTCCAGTAAAGAATTATGGATAAAGAATAACATGTATTGTCCAACCACTAACTACCTTATTATTTCTTTAAGTGCAAAAACAGTTGTAGAAACTATTTTAGGTTGTTTGGCGTTTAACCCCCCAAGAACATCTTCCTATAAATATTAAAAATAATACAAATAATAAATAACTAATAATAACAATTAGCTGATAGGGAATTAATACTAACCACGACCGGATCAGGCACGTCCACCTCAATGTATGTAAGAATGAGTTCAACTGCTTTATTCTTCGTTCCGGCACGGGAAGAACCCAAACCCTTTTCAACGATGGCAGGTATGATAGAAGACCTAATCCTACAAGAGCAATGATTAGAAAAAATTAAAGAGTTAAACATACATATATAATTCGATGTCAAGTGGACGCGAAAAAAATTTAATTAGTCTGTAAAAGTTAAAATGAACACTTGCTTTATTGGATTAGGTGCATTTTCCACATAAGCCTGTAGTGTTGACAAGCCAGTCTCTTGAGCAACAGCATTAGCATCTGTCGCAATATTTTTCATAAAGCCTTCATAAGGCCGAAACTCGCTTTCGTTTGGATCCGCTTGTGAAAATTTTTTCGTAAGTTCTTCATATGCAGCAACTCTAACCTTCCAGACCTATTATAACAAGGACGTTAAAAAGGTTATTGACCTTGTATACTTGCTGTAAACGTGGATTAAAATAAAATGGTTCACACCTTATGTGTAATTCGCTCAGTAAGAGGTAGTGAAGAGTAATCTTCCTCGGGAGTCGCCATGTATGTAATAACAATGGAAGACGCGGGTTCCTTGATGTATTTTAAGGGTGTAAGGTTGGTGTAAGGTCTTTAAACTTTATAGGTTTCAATTTTTCAAAATACCGGGACATCAATTTAATGATGTAATTCATTTGCTCATTATATCATACCGATTTATTCCGTTTATAGCAATATGCATTATGATTAGTAGGGAAACACAGGTTTCCGGTGCCGCTTTAGATCACCGTCTTAACGTTTAAGGCTTATTTTCCCTCTTTTTTTTAATAATTTAAACATCAGCAATATGCCTCCGATCAAAGGTGTTGTAATACTCAATATACGAATTTTTTTTAAAGGACTTTTATATCCGTATTTACACAATTTTAAAACAGTGTATGTTAAATGGAAGGGGCAAAGTTATGAAGTAGAACTTGATACTGATGCGCCGGCTAGTGATTTCAAGGCTCAACTCTTTTCCATGACTGATGTTGAGCCCAGCAGACAGAAGATCATGATTAAGGGTGGAATTTTGAAGGTTTGTTTGAAAACGAGAATTTTTGAAATGATCCGATCATTCTAACGATTTAAAAATAGGATGATACCGATCTTAATACACTCAATATTAAAGAAGTAAGGATTCATTATCGTTTGGTTAATTTAATGAATAATGATTTTAACACATATTAATATCATCTTTTTTTTTTTTGTGCGGCAAAGGGGACTACAATTATGGTATACCAATTAATCTAATCCATCATTATTTCGCGCCATTTTAAGTTTATTGAAAATTTAATATATTTAGATGATGGGAACGCCTGGAGAATTACCCAAAGAACCGGTTGAAAAGACGCGATTCATAGAAGATATGTCAGATAGGCAACTGGCAGAAACTGTAAGATAGTCATTTATATCTTACCAGGCATAACTTATTTCGATGATTATTTCATACTGAACTCTTGTTTCGACATAACTATGATACAAATGGAAACAGCTAAAGTTACCATCAGGTCTGAAAAATCTGGGTAATACTTGTTACATGAATTCCACTTTGCAGTGTCTTCGCACCATACCTGAATTACAAGAATCGCTAAACAGGTGTGTACGGATATAAAATAAATGGGTGACGTCAAAGGAAAGCCTGTAAATCCGAATTTCAAATTTTCATTCTTACCGGAACCAACCCCTGAAGCGTTATGGTAAGACGTAACATTCGGTAATTGGGAGGCACGTGAAATGTATATATGATGAATTAAATTCGTTATCATTAGTGAAACTATTAGAAATACTAGTAATCGTGTTCTTTAATTACGCATATTATAATAACTTCAGGGGCTAAGTCCGACAAAATGAAAATCAAAAAATTGATTTACAGGTCTTCCCTTGGTGTCATCCAAAATGCAGTTGAATTGTCACAGGCGGGTAATTTACTATACCGTTTTATATATACATATATACAAAGGTTTTCTAACAGTAATACGAGCCCAGATATGCAAATAAATCTTACAGCATCTTTGCGTGATCTTTACAAACAATTGAATCAAACCACAGAAAGCTGTGTACCGTTCACTTTCGTGCAGGTTTGGCTACACATTATCCAATATTCACAGTTAAATCATTTACAATTATTTAAAGTTTCGTATAATTGATAGGCGCTCAGAAGTGCCTTTCCTCAATTTGATCAACGTAACGTTAACGGTTACTTGCAACAAGATGCTGAAGAATGTTGGACTCAAATTGTTACTAGTTTGAATAATGCAAATATTCCGGTATCTGGACCGCAAGACAGCTCAGCTGCATCAGAAGAGTCATCACTAAATGAGTCTTTCGTTAAACAGTATATGACGGGAAATTTTACTGAGATGTATGGATTGATCTAGTTAATGTTAATTTTCGATTTCATATTTGGCAGTATTTATTAATTCTACTATTAGTTTAAAGTGCGTTGACGCACCAGACGAACCGACAACTACCAATAATTCGACTTTCATGAAGTTGAGCTGTATTACTTCAGAGAAAGGTACATATACATGCGCATATGTATTTTGAATTATTGTTTCACTTATTATCATTAGGCAAAATGCATTGTACTCATTTAATATTTAAATTTAGACATAAGTTATATGCAAAGTGGCATATTAATGGTACGATTTCGAGCATTTTAATTTAACTTAATTAATCTATATTCCTACAAAACTATTGTCATTTTTTTTAATTAGGCATTAGATGAGAAAATTGAAAAAGATTCACCTAGCTTAGGCCACATTGCCAATTATACTAGAACTTCGCGTATTAGTCGCCTACCTTCGTACCTTACGGTTGGATTTGTACGATTCTTTTGGAAGAATAATCGTCAAATTAAAACCAAGATTACACGTAGAGTCCAATTTCCTTTTGATTACGACGCATATGAATTATGCACAGATGAATTAAAGCAAAAGATTGGACCATTGAGAGCATATATTCTTGAGCACGAAAAAGAAAAGGATGTGGCTAAGGTTGAATATTTTACTTGCAATTTTAAACAAAATATGTAATAGACACTCATTATTTCGCTTCATAGCGTAAAGCAAAGCTCTCAAAGAATTCAGGTGAAAAGGAAACGGCTGAATCTAAGAACGACAGTAAAACTAACGAAATTAATGATGAGATCAAAAAATTGACTGATCCCGAGTTGGCAAAGGATCTTGGTGCTAACACGTCAGGACTATATGAGCTTTGTGCTGTGCTTACTCACATCGGACGGTCAGCAGATTCTGGTTAGTATTATACATTATCCATACTTAACTCATCACTTTTTGATCCTTTGTATATGTTTAATTTAGGACATTACATTGGTTGGGCACGTAAGCATGACTCAGGTAAGTGCCTTACAAATAAAAGAGTAACTACTATAACATTATTCATTGACGAATTACTCTTTCAGCTGAGGACTGGGTCAAATACGATGATGATAAAGTCTCAATCGTGCCACAAACAGAGATTCAGAAACTTGACGGTAGTGGTGGTAGTGCGTATTGAAGCATAATATTTTTATTACTTCTACGACAAACGCTGTAATTTAATCTGTATATTTCATTTAATATAGGCGATTGGCATATTGCATATATTCTTCTATATAGGTCAAAGAAAATTGTTTGAAGTATATAGTAGTTTACTATATATATAGTAAATGTGTTTTGATATAATGTATCTTTTCGAATTTTTTATAAGAATGGAATGTCTGTCAGCCGAAATGGTCCATTCTTATGAATTCATATCATACGAACAAAATTACTTTTTGTTATATAAAGTTTAATTTTGTTCAAATGTACGTACGTACGTACGTGCGTTCTCTGTAAAATCACATGGTTGTTTTACACAATTATGCATCAAATTTGGAACGAATGAGAACAACTTTGTAACCATATTAACATAAAACACATTGTTGGTAGATATTACCATTGCACTGAGTATAAACAGCGTTTGCACCTCGCATTTCCGTGCAACACTTTAGTAATAATACTGTAATTTATGTAATACAGTTGGCATTCGTCATACGTAGTTAAGAAATTTGTAAAAATTCATTACAAGCCTATAAGTTAATTTGCATATAAAGGATTTTATATGGAGTGTTCACTATGTCGAGAACAACGCGTACCGGTATATGTCGTAAGCGGGAACGGAATTTAGCTCAACACGAATCCAAATCTTGTCATCAAATTTTATCCTAAATGAAAAAAATTCCAAATCCATTTAAATTACATTCCTACTTACGACATATTCTTAAATCTAATTTTAACCTTGCTTGTCCCTTTGATTTTAATAATAAATATTATTGTTTCCTTTAAATACTCACGATATGATTCAATACATCCTTTATGTTGCTTTGTTTCATCAACCGAAAGTGCTTCATTATTATAAAATAATAAAATTCATTTCAGAGCATAAACATAAGCCGATGCTTTGAATTCACTGACAATTAAGTGTTTATCGGTTGACAGACATCGCTCCTATCATTGTCATAGCTGATAATTTATGCAATTACGCATTGCTTCTGGTTCTACGACATGTAGTAAATGCCAACTATTCAAAAATATCGGTTCTGATTCATATTAATTCGTTATTGGTTTTCAATTTTACCAATAATCGTTACACGAATTTTTATAAATTTCTTTAGGTTACGTAGAAAAATCGGTCTCTAACTATTGTATGCAAAATTTATACTGGACGTTTTTGCTTAACGTTAAGAGCTAAAATACGATTATATTAATAAAATCTTTAGATATTTACATTTTTTCAAAATTTTACTAAGGCAATCGTCCTTTGGCTCTTAAGTGAAAATGTTTAGCACGAAATTTTTTTTTTCTTTTTTTTTTTTACCTTTGGCTGTCTTGCCAGTTATCCTTTATTAAGATTATTTTGTCGCAGGCTGTACAAAATGTTGAGCTTAATATTTAGGCCTGACACTTCTAAGAGCACTTACAAGTGACCATCTGCACTAGGCAGACTGTAAAAAATTTTTTTCGAATATTTTCATTATTTTTCCATATTTTTTGTGAAAATTCTGTGAATCTGCAACATGATCGATAAAATCTAGACAAGCTGAATAATCTCCATGATTTAAGGTTATAAATTCCGTGAATATGCAACATTTATAGACAAAATATGGAATATAAAACATGGATCAACTTTCATGCAATAAAATAACTCTTCCCTTGGCCAACAACAATAAAACCGAACTACAATAAAACGTTATAAAAAAGCAACAAAGTAGATACCAAACTCAGTTCCTATATAGGAGCAGCTTGTTGTTGATGAAGTCTAAGCATTTAGATGTGAAACACTAAGGAGCGGGTATTAAAAGAATATGGATGGTTTTCTTTGGGGTCAAGTTTTTTCTGCTAGATGGACTTTTCAAGGTATTCAACATCCAAAACGTTAATGTTACACGAATGTTTATGTATTGTCTTATTGTAACTGGCCAATCAAATCACAAAATTTAAAAATTAAA